AGCAGCTAGGGAGCATCACCTCTTGGCCGGGCGCTGTTCTAGGTGCTGAAGATGTGGCTGAAGGAGGACGGACAAGGTCCTGCTCACAGCCTCAAGGGGGAAGGACACAAAGTGAGTAATTATCATGGATTTGAAAAGGAAGGGAGGCATGTCAGAGGAACTGGAAACCAAGTGTGCTGACTCACTCCTGTAACCCCAGCATTTTGGGAGGCCAAAGCGGGAGGATCACTTGAGTCTAGGAGTTTGAGAACAGGTAACACTGGGTAACATAGTGAGACTCCATATCTCCTAAAATTTTTTTGAAATTAGCTGGGCATGGTGGTATGCATCTGTGGTCCCAGCTACTCTGGAGGCTGAGGCAGGAAGACAGCTTGAGCCAGGGAATCTGAGGCTGCAGTGAGCTATGAATGCACCAGTGCACTCCAGCCTGGATGACAGCAAGACCCTGTCTCAATAAACAAACAACAGAAACTGGAACCTGGGATGCCCGCTCTGAGCCTGCCAGGTCCACCATGAAGAGCCTCCCCATGTGCACCTCCTTCACCAGGCCTGCACTGCAGCTCCGCTGGTACACGGTGACCTGCAGCACAGTGTGGGAGCGGGACGATGTCTTGTTGGTGGCCGTGGGCTCCTGTGTACGCTGCTGGTTGCCTTTCGTGAGGAGCTGCATGATCTGAGGACAGAGGCAGAGGCAGGCGGGAGGTCAGGGGCCACATGTGCCCTCCAGGAACACCCAGGCAAGAGAAGGAGCTGTTGGGCTCCTGTGGCTGAGATACTTACAGCAGGACCCTGTCAGGTGAAAGCAGCTTCTGGTGTGCAGCAAGAACTGATTGACTGAGTCAACTTGAAAGAAATGGCAGATTGCTAACACTCACACTGCCCCTCTCCTTCTTCTACCCATGGCAGACATCACCAATGGATTGCCCGCCTCTTCTTCAGAGCCCAGAGCAGCCCCAGGACCCTTTTCAGTACAGAACTCTAGCCAGTTATACTGATTTGCTGGAGGTGGCAGATGGGCTGATACCATTTGCCATGCATGCAATTTTAAAAATCATGCACATTGAGCCTCTGCTGAGTACCTACTGTGTACTCGCCTCAGGCCAGGATAATGGAGCATATATGGAGAGAAAAGTGGTGCAGTCGCTGTTGTTAAAGAACAGAGCCAGCCGGGCGGTGGCTAACACCTGTAATCCCAGGTCTTTGGGAGACCAAGGCGGGCAGATCACAAGGTCAGGAGATCAAGACCATCCTGGTCAACATGGTGATACCCAGTCTCTACTAAAAATACAAAAATTAGCTGACATGGTGGTGAGTGCCTGTAGTCCCAGCTACACAGGGTGCTGAAGCAGGAGAATCTCTTGAACCTGGGAGGCGGAGGTTGCAGTGAGCCAAGATTGTGCCACTACACTCCAGACTGGTGACAGAGTGAGACTGTCTCAAAAAAACAAAAAGAACAGAGCCAGGTACATTGGATCACACCTGTAATCCCAGCACTTGTAGAGGACAAAGTAGATGGATCACTTGAGCCCAGGAGTCTGAGACCAGCCTGGGCAACATGGCATTATACTGTCTTTACCAAAAAAAATTAAATCAAAAATTACTCAGGTATGGTGGCAGTTGTCTGTAGTTTCAGCTGCTCAGAAGGCTGAGGCAGGGCCAGGTGCAGTGGCTCATGCCTGTAATCCTAGCACTTTGGGAGGCTGAGGTGGGTAGATCACTTGAGGTCACGAGTTCATAACCAGCCTGGCGAACATGGTGAAACACCGCCTCTACTAAAAATACAAAAAAATTAGCCAGGCATGGTGGCAGGCACCTGAAATCCCAGCTACTTTGAAGGCTGAGGCAGGAGAATTCTTTGAACCCAGGAGGCGGAGGTTGCAGATCTTGCTTGCAGACCCAAGATCACACCACTACACTCCAGCCTGGATGACAGAGCAAGACTCCCTCTCAAAAAAAGAATAAAAGAAAAAAGAAGGTGGAGGCAGGAGGATCACTTGAGCCCAGGAGTTCAAAGCTGTAGTGAATTATGATTGTGCCACTGCACTCCAGCCTGGGCAACAGAGCAAGATTCTGTCTCAAAAAAAGAAAAAACAGAAAACAAGAGCAGGCCAGAAGGCTGACCCACAACTCAAGAGCCTGAGGGATGATGGTAAGGGCCTGTGGATGCTGGTGCCAGCATGGCGGAAGCACATGGTCATTAGGTCTGAGGCTGGGTCTGCGCTGATTCTGGAGGCCAGAGGGAAGCGTTGAAGGTGGTGTGAGCAAACAGGATGCCCAGCCAGATCTGTCAGGAGGCCCAGGCTGCCAGTAGTGCTGGGCATGGCTCAGAGAGCAGAGAGGGAAGGAAAGCCAGACAGGAGATGTTTCCAGTTTCCATGCCCTTGCTACATGAGCAATTCTTAGGATCAGGAATGGCAAACGGGTTCCAGACAGGAGCCAGCTCAGAGGGTTGTGACTGCATGAAGTTCTGTGGGGTTTTTGGGGTTGTTTTGTTTTGTTTTGAGACAGTCTCACTCTGTCACCCAGGCTGGAGTGCAGTGGCTCAATCTCACCTCACTGCAACCTCTACCTCCCAGGTTCAAGTGATTCTCATGCGTTAACCTCCTGAGTAGCTGGGATTACAGGTGCCCGCTACCACACCTGGCTAATTTTTTTGTGTTTTTAGTAGAGTCTCAGTGTGTTGCCAGGCTGGAGTGCAATGGCTCAAACTTGTGAGTTCGGGCAGTCCATTCACCTCGACCTCTGCTGGGATGACAGGTGTGAGCCACTGCGCCCAGCCCTGGAGTGCTGTGTTGAAAAGGACCCCGAGCCTGCGTCCGGAGGCAGAGGGAAGAGTGTGTGCTCCGTCAGTGATGGCACCCTGAGCGCCAGGTAGGAGGCCAGAGGCAAGGATGCCAACCCCCCTGATCGAGTCCATGCTTGGAAACAACATGGGAACTGCGAGTCTGTCCCTGTGCAGTGAACCTGAAGGAGGACTTGTGAGCTCTGGCATGTGTGTGGCTACCGTGGCTTAGCCACGTTTCCTTCCGTGGGCCCCTGTGACCCTCACCTCATGGGCGTTTGAGGAAGAGAATTCCATGATGCCCGCAATCTGGATGCTGCCCCTGGAATCTTCGCTGAGGTCCAGAAACCCCGAGGATGGGTTCGGGAGGTCTCGGATCACTTCATTATAAATCTGAGGTGGAACAGAAAGGCTGGGAGCAAAGTAGCTTTGGCACAAATAATTACAAGAACTGGCCAGGTATTGTGGCTCACACGTGTAATCCCAGAACTGTGGGAGGCCCAGGTGGACGGATCACGAGGTCAGGAGTTCGAGACTAACATGGCCAACATAGTAAAACCCCATCTCTACTGAAATACAAAAATTAGTTCGGTGGTGGCAGACACCTATAATCCCAGCTACTGGGGAGGCTGAGGCAGGAGAATCTCTTGAACCTGGGAGGCAGAGGTTATAGTGAGCCAAGATTGTGACACTGCACTCCAGCCTAGGTGACACGGCAAGTCTCCATCTCAAAAAAGAATTACAACTTAGCACTGGGCTTTGAACCTCCAGAGAAATCTCAGCCCTGGGGACTGGGGCTTTCTACAAGGTCACTTGGCCTCTGGGGGTAACACGCAGTGCTGAGGATGTCACACAAACAGGTGTGTTTCGTTTGGTGCCATCATGCTTATTTTGCAGACAAGGCAACTGAGGCAGGTGGCAGGCTCACCTCAAGGTAAGACATGGACACACTGTAGTCCATGCTGTCCCAGATCTCCTCAATGGCTTGGAAGAGGTCAGTGAGGGTCTGCAGGTAGATGCCGGGCTCCGCATCCACACCCAGCATGGTGTGGGTCTTCCCTGCACCTGCAAGAGGAGCGGAGACACTTGCCAGGGTTGGGGGACTTGGAGGTGGGCTCCACCTGGAAATGCTGACCATTAAAAGACAGAGAGCTGAGCGTGGTGGCTCACACCTGTAATCCCAGCACTTTGGGAGGCTGAGGTGAGTGGATCACCTGAGGTCAGGAGTTCAAGACTAGCCTGACCAATATGGTGAAACCCTATTTCTACTAAAAATACAAAAATCAGCTGGGCGTGTTGGCGCATGTCTGTAATCCCAGCTACTTGGAAGGCTGAGGCAGGAGAATCACTTGAACCCGGGAGGTGGCAGTTGCAGTGAGCTGAGATTGAGCCATTGCACTCCAGCCTAGGCAAGAAGAGTGAAACTCCATCTCAAAAAACAAAAGAGAGAGCTGGCTGTGGTGGCTCACACCTGTAATCTCAAGCACTTCGAGAGGTTGAGGCGGGTGTATTGTTTGAGCTCAGGAGTTCAAAACTAGCTTGGGCAAACTGATAAAACCCCATCTCCGCAAAAAATGCAAAAAGTAGCTGGGTATGGTGGAACACACCTGTATAGTCCCAGCTACTCAGGAGGCTGAGGTGGGAGAATCACTTGAGCCCAGCAGGTCAAGGCTGCAGTGAGCTATGACCACACAACTGTACTCCAGCCTGAGCAACAGAGTGAAACCTTGTCTCAAAAGAAAAAAGAGGCTGGGTGCAGTGGCTCACACCTGTAATCCCAGCACTTTGGGAGGCCGAGGCGGGTGGATCACTTGAGGTTAAGAGTTCAAGACCATCCTGGCTAACATGGTGAAACCCCGTCTCTACTAAAAATTCAAAAATTAGCCGGGCATGGTGGCACGTGCCTGTAATCTCAGCTACTCAGGAGGCTGAGTCAGGAGAATCGCTTGAACCCGGGAGGTGGAGGTTGCAGTGAGTCGAGATTGCACCACTGCACTCCAGACTGGACAACAGAGCAAAACTCCATCCTCAGCCCCCCACCAAAAACAAGAAAGAAGAAAAAAAGAAGAGTACCAGGCTGGGCATGGTGGCTTATGCCTCTAATCCCAGAATTTAGGGAGGCAGAGACAAAAGGGTCACTTGAGCCCAGGAGTTTGAGACAAGCCTGGGCAGCATAAGGAGACCTTGTCTCTACAGAAAATACAAAAGTCAGCTGGACATGGTGGTACATGCCTGCAGTCCCAGCTACTTGGGAGGCTGAGGTGGGAGGATGCTTGGGCCCGGGAGGTTGAGACTGCAGTGAGCTGTGACTGAGTCACTACACTCCAGTCCAGGTGACAGAGCGAGACTCTGCTGTCATAGTCCCC